TATATATATATAATTTTTTTTTTCTTTATTTTAATAAAATATTTTAAACGTACCGTTTGACCATCGCTTTCATACAACGGACACTTTTGTCGAATTTTATGAAGTTCCATATTAATTTGTTTACTAAGGGTCGTTACAGGATTTCCACCTAAACCTGTGACCACCATGGCTCCCAAATCCGCAATATAATTTGATTTACGAAATGTAGCAATTCGCCCACCAACACGATCCTAGATGAAAATTAATAATTTAGTAAAAATTAATTTACACAAAGATAAAGATAAGTTAAAATAAAATAGAATATAGTTATCAAGCACTTACTCTAGCTTCCAAGACAATTACTTCTAAGCCAAACTGTTGCATCTGTTGAGCTGCTGCCAATCCAGCAATACCAGCACCAATTACAATGACCTTGCCCAATTTTTTGGTTGGTAAGGGCTGTAACAAATAAATATAAATTGTTAATTTCTTTAATAACAAATAATTTCTATATATATATAAACATAATAAAATTACAATATCAATATAATATGTAATATTAAAATACATTAAAATAAATACATGATATTAATCTCATAAAAATAATATTGCAATTAATATTTATGATATTCATTAAATTACCTTAAGACGTTTAAAAACTCCAAAGTTTATAAAACCATGCCGTTCTAAGAAGGCATGAATCCTACGAGTGAGTACAGTATCGCTATTATAAGGTGGCTCAACTTGCGGTAATGCATTTTCGATAATTAATTGTTGTTTGGGATTTTCCAGCCATATTTGCAACTAAAATATAATATTGGATTAAAAAAGGAAGAATAGAATCTCATAGCTTATAATTTACATACTTACAAGTCTGTTCCTAATGTGTAAGAATACTTTCTGCGTTTGTGGTGGTCCACCAGAAACATCAGGGAAACATGCAGCTTCGGTAGATGTCAATTTGTCAAATGGAAGGCGGCTTTGAAAGGCTGCACCTTCTAATCCATTTAATAATTCCTTCACTAATATAAATACAAAATTAATGTTTGCATCAACATCGATAAATTTAGATAGCTAGTTCATAGATACATAAGATACCATGTGGATCTTCGTGATCACTGTCTTGATCATCTTCTTCTTTGACTTCACTTTTTGAAGCAGAAGCTGTAGGTACAGGCACAGTAGATTCAGATTCTTTTTTCACTTCTGTGGAAACTTTCTTTTCTGGTGTTACAAGACCAGTTTTAGATTTCTCGGATGTATCCGAGGCATTCTCATCTTCTAACTGATTGTATTTTTCCTCCATTTCTCTGTACTCCACCTATAATTAGATATATTTTTTCATACAAAGAAGCTCCATAGATATGAGGTACTATAAAAATTTTATATAAAAAAACAAGAAACTCTTCTTTTTAAAGAAAAAATTTAAATAAATAATGATTTGTCGAATGATAAATAATGGCTAAATAAAGTATCATGAACATATTATACATGTACACAATCAAAATATAGCCTCACTTTATAACGAAGGAATTAAAATTCCAACGCATAACCATAAAATACTCTAAAGAGAATTTATTCATCTGGTTTATTATTGCGTAATAAAAGAATAAGACATGAGCTAACAGTGACAGAATCATAGTCTTATAGTTATAATTGATGTTGACGTGCGTAACCACAAATATATAAAACATTATCGCGATTGATTCTTAAAGATATATCGG